AGCGGGAACTACTGGCCATCAAGGTAGCCTTTGAGGTCTGGCGCCACCATCTTGAGGGGCACGACATCCGGTGGAGGTGAGAACCGACCACCGGAACCTGGAGTACCTCCAGACCACCCGCAAGCTGAACCAAAGACAGATCCGGTGGGCGTTGTTCTTTCCCGGTTCCAGTTCCGGATCCGCTACATCCCTAGCTCTCAGAATCAGAAGGCGGATGCCCTGTCCCGGAAACCCGAAGACAACGCAGACACGGTACAGCAAGCAGAACCCACCACGATCCTACCTCCGGCTGCATTCCTGGCCACCCAGGAGGCGCAGCCACTGCAGGTTCGGGTGCGGGAACCGCAGCGGGTCGCCGCTTGGGCCCAGGAACGACTCCGGGAGCTGGCTGAAGGGTCCAGCCCACAGTATCCGGGGCTGGTCCTGCATCAGGGCCTTCTGCTGCACCACGGTCGTCTGTACATCCCGCCAGGGCCACTACGGCTGGAGGTTCTCCGGATGGCCCATGATGCCCCAGCAGCGGGGCACTTTGGACGGTATCGGACCACCCATCTGGTCAGTCGAGAGTTTTGGTGGCCCCGCCTGAAGGCTGACGTGGCTCGCTACGTTGCTGGTTGTGATGTCTGCCGGCGCGCCAAGGGACCTACCGGGCGACCCCCCGGCCTACTTCAGCCATTGCCAGTTCCACCGCGCCCCTGGCACACGGTTTCGTTGGACTTTGTAGTGGACTTACCCTCGTCTCGTGGCTGTACCTGCCTTCTGGTTTTCTCCGACCATTTCACCAAGATGGTGCACTGCGCTCCCTGTCCAACTGTACCCACAGCCAAGGAAACTGCTCAGCTGTACCTTCAGCATGTCTTCCGCCTGCATGGACTACCTGAGCGCGTGGTGTCCGACCGGGGCGTTCAGTTCACATCCCGGTTCTGGCGAGCATTACACCAGACCCTCGGGACAGAGGTCTGCCTCTCGTCAGCCTACCACCCACAGACCGATGGCCAGACGGAGCGGGCGAGCGCGGTGCTGGAGCAGTACCTCCGGTGTTACTGCAGCTACCAGCACGATGACCGGGTCGACCAACTGGCATTGGCGGAGTTCGCCTATAACAACGCGGTGAATCGTCCACCCAGCAGACCCCGTTCCAGGCCAGTTATGGTTATCATCCACGGCTGTTTCCAGAGGTGCTGCCGGCATCCGCGGTCCCGGCGGTGACGGAGTGGCTTCAAGAGCTCCAGTCCCAGCAACAGCTTTTGGTGGAGCAACTGCACCAGGCCAAGGAAGCGTACAAAGCCCAGGCCGACCGCCACCGCCAGGTGGGGCCGGAACTCGCGTCGGTGACCTGGTTTGGCTCTCCACTCGCCACCTCCCCCCCTCTCGACCTACGCGTAAGTTGGACGACAGCTTCACCCGGACCGTTCCCTATCGTAGACCAAATCTCTCCTGTGGCATTCCGTCTCCGGTTACCCGCAACCCTGAAGGTTCACCCGGTCTTCCACAGGTCCCTTTTGAGTCCGGTGGCCCCACCCGACGAGTTCCACCCGGACCGTCCCCGACCGCAGCCAGTGTTGGTTCGGGGAGAGCCTGAGTACGAGGTGGAACGCATCCTGGACTCCCGATACCGCAGGGAAAGCTGCAGTATCTCATTGACTGGAAGGAGTACGGACCGGAGGACCGTTCCTGGGAACCAGCGGCCAATGTCCACGCACCTGCCTGCCTCCGAGAGTTCCATGCGACGTACCCCGGCAAGCCGGGTCCGGACCCTCGGTTGAGGGGGCCTGGGAGGGGGATGGTGTGATGGCCTGGGATTCCGATTCGGAGGATGAAACAGAGGAATCCCAGCCTGCACAGGAGTCCCCGCCTCCAGGGCCGGCTGAACTGGGGCAAGGCCTAGATGCTGAAGAGCCTGCACCTGTGGCAGTGCATCAGGAGCTGGCCCCAGGTGAAGCCCTTCTGGCCCCAGAGGGGCTTGATGACTCAGTGGCCACAGGTGAGCCTCCTCCAGGGCCCAGTAACCCTTCGGCCTCTCCTGATCTGCAGAGGCTTAGGGCAGAGGGGCGAAGGGAACTGGTTGCCCCCAGGAGGAGTGCTCGCCTTAAGGCCAGAGGAGGCGGGGCTCCTGGGGACCGGGACCGCCCCTGGCCTTAGAAGAGGATAAAAGCCCAGTCAGCCCGGCCCCAGGTTGCGGGAGCAACGTCGTTGTTGGCTCGGACCTTCCTGTGCTCCTGTTCCCTGCTCGGCTTCCTGTTCCTGACTATCCGGTACTCCTGTTCCCTGCTCGGCTTCCTGTTCCTGACTATCCGGTACTCCTGTTCCCTGCTCGGCCTCCTGTTCCCGACCATCCGGTGTTCCTGTTTCCTGCACAGCCTCCTGTTCCAGCATTCCTGTTCCCCGCCCGGCTCTCTGCCTCGGACCTTGCCCCTCTTCGTGTGGACTCTGCTACACCCAAGGTACCTTACCCCCGGGACCAGCACAGTGGCGCTTGGGGGGGAATTGTCATCGTGCCACTCCTTGGTGTGTGGAGTACCTCAGGGTGCGATACTCTCCCCGATGCTTTTCAACATCTTTATGCGCCCCCTCGCCCAGCTTGTTCGGAGTTTTGGGCTGGGTTGCCATCAGTATGCCGATGACACCCAACTCTATCTGTTGATGGATGGCCATCCTGACTCGGCCCCAGACACACTGACCAGATGTTTGGAAGCTGTGGCTGGATGGTTACGTGGGAGCTGGTTGAAGCTAAATCCTTCGAAGACAGAGGTCCTGTGGCTGGGACGGGGCGATATGGGATTGGGGGGGCAACTCCCATCTCTTGCGGGGGCGCAATTAGTGCCAGCACCATCCGTTAAGAGTTTGGGTGTAATCTTCGACACCTCCCTTTCCATGGAGGCGCAGATTGCAGCTATAACAAAGGCGGCATTTTTCCATCTCCACCAAGCTAAGCAGTTGGCTCCTTACCTCTCTCGCCCTGACCTAGCCACTGTGATCCACGCTACGGTCTCCTCCAGACTGGATTATTGTAACTGGCTCTACATGGGGCTGCTCTTGAGACTGACCCAGAAACTCCAGCGGGTGCAGAATGCTGCAGTGAGACTCCTTACGGGGTCCTCGCTGCGAGATCACATTCATCCGGTGCTATACCAGCTGCACTGGCTCCTGGTGGAGTACAGGATCAGGTTTAAGGTGCTGGTTTTAACCTTTAAAGCCCTATACGGCCTAGGACCCTCGTACCTACGGGACCGCCTCTCCTGGTATGCCCCACAGAGAAACTTACGGTCTTCAAATAAAAACATCTTGAAGGTCCCAGGCCACAGAGAAGTTAGGCTGGCCTCAACTAGAGCCAGGGCTTTTTCGGCTGTGGCTCTGATCTGGTGGAACACTCTGTCACAAGAGACCAGGGCCCTGCGGGACTTGACATCTTTCCGCAGGGCCTGCAAGACAGAGCTGTTCCACCAGGCCTTTGGCCAGGGCACAGCCTGACTCCCTCCCTCGGCAATCTTCGCGGAGCTCTGGCCCAATGGTTGCCAGTGGCTTGAATTAATTAATTTTATAATGAATGATTTTAGAGTGTTGTTTATGCTGTACTTTTGTATTGTTTTATTGTTGTTAGTCGCCCTGAGCCCGGCTTCGGCTGGGGAGGGCGGGATATAAATAAAATTTATTATTATTATTATTACTTAACTAAACTGAAAAGCATCTTGCTTTTGTTCAGAAGGGGTCCCTGCTGTCACAGCTGCTTCTCTTCTGGGAGAAAAATTGTGTGACTTCCACCTGTTCTGGTTCTCTCCCTATCCTCCTCTTTTATAGTTGTATCCACAGGCAACTCCCCGTTTTCACAGGGGTTGTGTTCCGGCTCAAAGCATCTGTCAGTGGTCATGCCTAAAATGGTCGTATATACTTTGCACCTAAGTAAAAAGGTAAAGGTAAAGGACCCCTGGACAGTTAAGTCCAATCAAAGGTGACTATGGGGTTGCGGCTCTCATCTCGCTTTTAGGCCGAGGGAGCCAGTGTTTGTCCACAGACAGCTTTCTGGGTCATGTGGTCAGCATGACCAAACCGCTTCTGGTGCAGCGGAACACCGTGACAGAAGCCAGAGTGCACGGAAACACCATTTAGCTTCCTGCCACAGCAGTACCTATTTATCTATTTGCACTGGTGTGCTTTCAAACTGCTAGTTTGGCAGGAGCTGGGACAGAGCAACGGGAGCTCACCCTGTTGTGGGGATTCAAACCGCCAACCTTCCAATCAGCAAGCCCAAGAGGCTCAGTGGTTTAGAACCACAGCGCCACCCGTGTGGTCTACTTCAGCACCTGGGTCCAGAAGAGGTGCCTACAGTCACAACTGTGTGGGTTCATGCCACAATAGCCATACATTATGGAGAAGTAAGCCACACTGAATTCCCTAATATGAGTGAACAGGATTGAGTCTGAGTTGATTGGTTGGTTGGTTGGTTGGTTGGTTGGTACCAAGCCTTTAACTACTATACGTATGTGGCAACATTTTCCTTCCCCTAGCTTATTCACTTCCATACTGACTTTCCAGAAACAGCACAAGGTAGAAGGATATTAAGCAGACTAGGATGTGGGAGACCAGGGTTAAAATCACTACTCAGCCACAGAGCCTTGGACCAGTCATGGACTCTCTGCCTAACCAACCTCACAAGGTTGTTGTGATGATGACCTGGCGGAAAGGACAATAAATGCCACTCTTAAGCTTATTGAAAGAAATGTGGATGCAAACATAATACGGTACTGATAAATAAAGTATAGTAAAAATAAAGGATAATAAAAATAAAAAGTATCTTCTGCCTGCCCCTGATTTTGAATTGCGGAAGCGGGGTGAGGGCAAGTTTGGAAACAAAGGAAAAAGAATCTGGTGCACAGCCAGTATATTCAGGCCTACAAACAATGGAATTTGCATGTACGCGCTTGGCAAATGCAATGTGAGCCTGTCTGCTGGGACAGGCTTGCCTGGGTGGGGTGTACAGGCAAGGTACAATCCATGCTTCCGTGTGTGTGTGTGTGTGTGTGTCTGTGTCTGTGTGTGTATGTACGTATGTATGTACGTACATACATACATACACACCCACACCCACACCCACCCACCTACTCACAATATAGGCTCTGCACATTGAGTTCCTCTCCTTTGAACCATCCTACCTTTCATAACAGCATTTTTGATTTATGCCTAGAGATGGGTGGGAGGGACCGCCTGGCCACAGCAATAGTTTTGAACAGTGCTTTTTCTGGGTGTACTCAAGAGTATGCGGTTCCAACACCTTTTTTTGTTGTTGAAAATGTGGCCCTTACTGTAACAACTGGTTTTGAATTTATATTGGTTGAGCAGTGCAGAGAGAATGGGAGATTGACAGGAAAGTCTCCAAGAGTCTAAAAATATGAGGGCAAGGGAGAGGAAAGAAGGTGACTGTGAGATTTTGGGGGGAAACTTACATTTTTGCCTTCAATTCACCATAATGGGGCTGTGCTCGAGGAGATCTGATGCCCCAGCTCCTGTTGCATGAGTCTTGCTATGTCCAATTGTGATTTATTTTCAAGTAAATCCACGCAAGAATGTAACATAAGGCAAAAAATGTCTTCCCTAAGAATACAGATGGAATCTATATGGCATAGATTTGAACCTTGCTATTAGCACTGAACATATTGGTTATTTTGTTTTACCTTTTCTAGTTTGGATTGTCATTCCAACCTGTTTCTGCTACACTGAACATGAGGGAAGCCCCCGTGGGTCAAAGAAGGACAACCTGTGGCTGTCCAGGTGCTGTTGGACTTCCCTTCCCACCAGCCCCAGGCAGAAAGGCCAACTGTTAGAGATCATTTGCCTTAGGTAAACCTCATAATGATATTTGCTGGATTCGCAGAGGCTGCATGCTGTGTTTTGTGCATGCACCAGGGCTTTCTTGTGTGGGTCTTCTCATCCCACAGTGGCCTTCCCAAAGTTGATTCTAGAGGTTAGAGGACTCCTGGATGCAGCAGTCAATGTTATGCCAGAAGGTGTAGCCAAAAAGGAAACTGCCCACCCCCAATGCTCATGGAAGCATCTTTTGCTTATGCATGGGGTTCATTTGGGTCTAGGTTACCGTATGCAGTATGAATGAGAGAGCTATCCAAAGAAGTTTCACTGGCACAAATCCATAATGCAAATCTAAACTCTGTGTTAGTTTTGCTAAGGAGCATGTCTTGTAGTCAAGCCATGTTCTGAGAGAGAGAGAGAGAGAGAGAGAGAGAGAGAGAGAGAGAGTACTCTTCTGTATTTCAAAAGACTGTACTATAAACAAAACCCCATATTTTTCTCTTCTGCAATAAATCAACTCCCCATGCTGCTGGGTAATGTTGCTTCTCTTGTTGCTTGCTCAAGAGCTGCTTCTGGCTAATGAGAGAAGCAGCTGCTCCAGCTGGGTAAGGAGCTCCTGACAACTCCCAGATGCTTAGCAAGTAGCCTTGTTAAACAGAATAGGCAAATAGGCAGCCTCCCCTCTCCCGCTCTGCCTCTGTTGCAGTCAGAGCTAGCAGAAGGAAATGTTAGGGAAAGCAGACTGCAAGCTTGGCACATCCATGTTAAAAAGGGCACAGGGAGGCTTGTTGTTTTCTGTCCTTGGTGCATCAAATTTAAAGTCCTCTGGAAACTGATGGGCTGTCAGACTCTAGACACTTTGCAACGCTATCCCATATATAATTACTTAAAAAGACTTGTTGATGTATGGTTGGGCAGGTGAAAAAGAAGGGGCAGGTCTCCTGCACCTGTAATAATCATCTGGAAGAGGGGGTGTCATGGAAGCTGTACCTGCTGAGATCCCCTCTTCTGGGTCTTGTTTTTCACCTGGCCATTCTGTGCTGATATCTGTGGAATTGATTTCATAGCTATACAGGACTGCAGCCTTGGATTCAGTCTGCAGATCATAAGGCACAGGAAAATTTGGATATTTGAAGAACACTTTTGACAAGCAGAAGCTCCCATAATGACATTTGGAATAGGGGCTGAGGGTTGGAATTGGAGTAATCTGTCAATCTGTCAGTTTTGGTGTTTCATTTTTCTAGTTTTTATTTTCTGTTCTCCCCATTTCCACATCAGTTTGCAATACCGCCCCCCCCAAAGGTTCTCCTGAAAACTCATCAGCAATTTAGAGCAAATTTCTCTTAATATACACATTTTGATATGCATTTTTGCCTAATGTACACATTTTTGCAAAGCAATTTCCCCATATATAATGCATGTTGTATGTTATTTCCATTAATATTTTCATTTATATACACACTTCCCCGTTACATGCATTTTGTACTTGCCTGGAGAATTGCACTGCAAAATTCAGAGATGTGTATATTTTGAAGCATGGTTATGTTTTGGTTCATGTACCGTTTTTTAATATGAGGTAGGTTTGTCTCTGAGCTGAAGCAAATTTTCTCCCCATCCCTAATATTTCTGGATATTTCTGCACATATATAAAGCATGGATTTATGTTGAAGAAATTGAGTCTTTGGACATAAAAACTGAAACTAAAATAAACAATCTAAAATAAACACATGTTTCAATATAATGGTGATATGTGGGCATGTATGGACATGTGCATTTCTTCTGCAAATGCCAAGGGAAACTTCAACAAAACAATGCAAGACAACTCAGGATATTCTCAGTAGGTTGTTGGACTACAACTCACACCATCGCTCCCCAAAGAGCATGGGCAAAGGTCAGAGATGATGGGAATTACAGTCCAACAACCTCTGGAGGGTAACACATTAGCTACTTTACATTAGGCTATTCCACCACTCCACTCAGTTTTCTGTTTTCCCCTGCAAGGGTCAGACAGCATTCCATGACCACTGAGCATGCTCAGTCCTCTTTGGAATGTTTTGACCGCTTAAAAAAAATCACCTGCAAAACTTGAGGCTCCCCTAAGCCTGCTGATACCTCCCTCTTTGTAGATGGATGGTGCCATTTTGGATGCCTAAGTACTGGCACCCTGCAAATTTGCACATTCTATTTATTTATTTATTTATTTATTTATTTAATAAAAGTTATACACCACTTTGTTTATAAACATAGTATATACAGTATACACACAATCTCCAAAGCGTTTTATAAAAATAATAGAACAATAAAATTACTGGTAAAAACAGTTAAAGCAATTATATAAGACAATTTAAAATAAAA